TTGGGGGTAAATCTTGAAAATTCATCCATTTTTGCTTCACCAGGCTCTTGTTGCAACCCAGTGGGATTGTTGCAATATCTGGTTTTTGCCACATTTTTGGGATAAAGAGCTGCAAGGATCCTAGTTCAGAACTTTGGAGCTTTATCAGCACCACACACATTCTCAGCAATGCAGACTTTCCCTTCAGAGCCCTGATAAAATCTGCAGGGTCCCTTTGTTCCACATCCCATTCCAGCCCCTGCTTTGAGCAGCGACACCTTCTACTAGACCAGGCTGCTCCAAGCTCTGTCAAACCTGGTGTCCAAGTGACCTTGGACACTTCCAGGAGCAGCCACAGCTTCTCTGGGTGATCTGTGCCAAAACCTCCCCACCCTCATTTTTGGGGGAGAATTTCTTCCCAATCTCCTATCCTGCCCTCTGGCAGTGGAAAGTCATTTCTCCTTGTCACTCCAGGCCCACTTCCAAAGTTCCTCTGCAGCTCTCTTGGAGCCCCTTTAGGAACAGGAAGGGTCTCCAAGGTGTGCCTGGAGCCTTGGGCATCCCCACCACCATCTTTCACCTCCTGAGGTTGCTCTGGTTCCATTCCTGGAGCAGGAGGGTGTCACCATGCAGAGCCCCCCGCTGTCACCACCAGAGGAGCCGCCTCGATCCAGTAATTTGGCTTTTCCCAGGGGGTTGATGAGTTCCTATGGCAACCAAGAGCCGCTCTGCAACACTTCCCTGCGTGGCAATCAGCGCTCACCTCATTTATGGAATTAGTGCCCGTGGCCCCGGCCTCATCCCGCTCATCACAGCCGGGAGATGGCTGGAGCATCCGAGGGGAGCCAACCACCCCCTGCCTGGAGCAGCACCCCAAGTTCTGTGCTGCCAGGGGCTGTGGGATGACTCCATCCCTGCTGCAGGAAACGTCTTCTGCATTGCTTCCAAAACTGAATATTAACGTGCAGTAAAAACGATGCTTTGAGTGGGAGGGTTTTGGGGTGTCTCCCAGCCCTGCTCCATCCTTAGCATGCTGGAGAGTCCCAGGCAGTAGCAACAAGCCAGGAATGTGTCTGTAGGTTTTCGGGGACTCGTACAAGGCACCCATCATCATCCCATCCCATCCCTCATCATCCCCTTGGGGAACAATGTTTGGCTAAGTCTGGTAAGTGCCAGATTTGTCCCCAAGTGAGGGCACAGTGACTGTGGTGTGTGACTAAGGAGATTCCTGGCATCTGCTGCAGGAGCTGGAAGATGGATAAAACAGATGAATCAGGAGTAGACTGGAGTTTAGGAAATCTTGGTTAATTTGCTGCAGCGAGAGCTTGCTACGCTCACAGAAATTAAAATGTGAGCTCTTGCAAGGACAGAGGAGGAGGCACCAGGGGAATACGGGATGAGTCAGAAGTGGTTCCATCCATAAATCAGCTCTGGTGCTTTCAATAATTCAACCATGCTGGAAGATCCAGCAGTTCACAGAGAGGTGATGTCCATGGCAAGGTGCTCAGTCTGCCTCACTGGGATCCAGCCCCCAAGTGTCCAAGGCCAGGTTGGATGGGGTTTGGAGCAACCTGGGCTGCTGGAAGGTGTCCCTGCCCACGGCAGGGGGTGGAACTGGCTGGGATTTAAGGTCCTTTCTATCCCATCCCATCCCATCCCATCCCATCCCATCCCATCCCATATTCCATGTAGTTACTGTGAGCTGTATCAACTGTGCTTTTAGCCAAAGTGAAAATAAACCTGATTTCCTCCTGTGCATGTCACAAACCTGCCTCTTTAACCAGAGCCAAGATCTGGGAAGAGAGCTGGCCACAGTTTGTACAGCCCATGGAATCTGCTCAGAGAAATGCAAAAGATATTTTGCAAGCCCTGTCAAGAAATCAGAAGCAGTGGCTTGAGTCAGAATGTTATTCACAATAAACCAGGAAACAGTAATAATAATAATAATAATAATAATAATAATAATAATAATAATAATAATAATAATAATAATAATAACTGTCTCAACAATTTCTAAGCCTTTTCCAGATCCACAGATAAAATTTGCCCAATGATCCTGTTTCAGTGGCAGAGTTTCTCTGTTATGGATATTTTGTCATTACTGGTGACATCCAGACAGAACAAACACGGTGAGAGGGGGGCTAGAAGTCAATGGAAAATTACTAGGCAAATTTTGTTTGCTCTGCCTGATTTGGAGACAGAGGAGGAAATTTCTAGGAGTACACATGGAAACAGTGTTGATCCTCAGTGTTCATTTAGAGCTGATGCTCATTTCATTCTGCAGTGCAGGACAAAGGGTCTCATCATCTGCAGCCATGGGAGAAACCTGGATGGGAATCAAATAATGGGAATAATACCTTGTTTGTAGGTAAGCTCTTTCAAGTAATCATCTCTCGAGTGCTTTTGAAAGAACATCACTGGAATAAATTATATTATCTGCCCCTTAGAGCTGTAAACACCTAAACAGGCTGCCAATATTTTCCCTTCCTGGGCCAGTGTCCTGGCAGATGGGAGAGCTACAGGCACCAAATCCTGGTAGAGAAGAGGGTCACAGAATGGAATTGTTTAGGTTGGAAAAGATCTTTAAGATCATCGAGTCCAACGATTATCAACCATATTTCAACCAACAAGAGAGTTTGTGAGGAAGAAACAGGATCAAGAAGAATATTGTGCAAAACTCTTAATAATTGAGGATGATTTAACAAAAATATCCCCTTTATACCCCCTGGTTCCTGGGAGAAAAGCTTTGAGCAGCTTCCTGAGAAAAGCTCTGCAGAATCAGCCTTCAAACATGTTTTCTTTCCTCATTTATCTGATTAATTTACTTTCATTAAGAAAACCAACCGTGTTCTCCTTTATATATCCAGTTTCTGTGAATCACAGACTGCAGCTCCGGGATTTCTGTGTTTATTCTCAGAAGTCACTCGGCTTTTAGCTCACCCTCCCAAAACAGTGTTTTCCCATTTCCTGCAGATAATTTGGGGAATGAGCAAAACATCTCAACGGGGGGACCTGAGGGTAGGGATTTTTCTTTCCCAGTGCTCAATAACTGCAAATTCTAGTCTAGTCTGGAAACATGGAAGAGGAGACCTCATCCTCTTTGTGGATCAGTTCTCCAGGATGGATATATGGATTTTAAATGGTCCTGCAGATAAATGCAGTGATGGGAATGAGTGGGGAGAGAAAAAGGCTAAGAAGAGTAATTTAGGGAAATTTATGTGTTTTAATTAAGAGTGAAGTAATAGAGATTGTGATGGGATGAAATGAAGAGAGAAGGAATCAACACCAGCAGTGACAGGACAAGGGGAAATGGCTTCAGTCAGACAGAGGGCCGGGTTAAATGGGATACTGGGAAGAAATTCTTGGTTCTGAGGATGGTGAGGCCCTGGCACAGGTTGCCCAGAGAAACTGTGGCTGCTCCATCCCTGGAAGTGTCCAAGGCCAGGCTGGATGGGGCTTGGAGCAACCTGGTCCAGCACTAATCCCAGCCTGATCTCCAAGGATCTGCCACTGCCCAGATCTGGGACAGAACTACATCCAAGCTGGCATCCTCCTGGGAAGTGACTAAGCTGCAGTCAAAGGTTTCTGGGTTTTGTGGGATTCACATCAATACACACACACAGCCCAAGCTCTTGAAGCCTTTATTACAGGAAGGACAAAGAGGGACCTCCTGCCTTGGTTGGCCCCTCTGGGATGAGCAGCCCAGGGAAGCTGCAGGAAGCCGAGGAGGGATCTGCTCTGTGGGAACGTGACAGAGGCCACCAGCACTGCTTGGGATGGGTCCCTGTCTTTGCTGTCACCCCACAGAACATCACGAGTCCTTCTAGGGCCACCTCAGCCAGAAGGTGAGTGAGCTTGTGGGTGGGCATAAGGGGAGTGGATCAGGGACCCTGTTGGGCTCCAGCCCGCTGTGTCTGCCCTGGATGCTCCCGAGCTGCTGGCAGAAGCAGGAATGCTGGCCAGTGCCGTGGGCAGGTTCCATGCAGGGCTGAGGAGCTGTCACCTGAGGGCTTAGAGGTGCTGTCCTTGGGCACGAGGAGCAGTGGGGGGGGTCACAGCTCGGCCGCACAGAGCAGGGCATGAGAGCTGCCATGGCCCTGAGCTGTGGTGCCTGTGGCAGTGCTGGTGCCTGTGGGCTGTTCCCAAGGGTTTCTCCTGGGAAATCAAGAGGTTAAAACCTAGACGGGAATTGGGTGTAAGGAGATGCTACCTTCTGCATGTGCTGCTTGCACAGAGCAGCCTGAGAGGCCAGAGAGGCACCTCAGACACCGAGGAGCACTGACAAGCAAACCCAGCCTTCATCTGGCAGCTTCTGGGATAGAACAGCCTGGCACTGGGATTCCCGCCTCCCCTGCAGGACCCTGAACGTGGACATACACCAAGCTAAACTTCCCTGGGAGCAGAATTTGAGACATCATTCCCAGCAAACTCATCACTTGAGATCTTTTGAGTCCTACTTGGCCATGAAGAGCAGCGATGACTGCATGGATGTGCCCAGCTGCATCTGCACCTTTGGCTGGATAAACTGGGATGCCCTGTCTGGTTATGGGGGCGGCTCCTCCAGCAGGCCAAGCAGGTTATGAAAGTCACTCCCATTCCAAACCAGCCACCTGCTTTCAGCAGCCACATGCTCCCATCTGCACCTGCAGAATGCACTTTTCTGAGCCTACATTGTCCTTTCACCAGCAAGGTGAATTTTAAAGGATAAATGCACAGCAATTTCACAGCTCCTCGTGCAGGTCGACCTCTTCCCGTGGCACAAATTGCTGCCTGTTGCTTAGGAACAATCTATATCCTACAAAATGAAGATGTGCGCTCTCCAAAGAGTTTTTTACACAATGGGTGTTTGCCTTGCTCAGACACTGATGCACCTCCTGCATAAACCATGGGGTGAAGTCCTCGAGCTCCAAATGTAGCACTGGACACCTACTACAGTCAGCTGTGATTTGGGGTATAGGGATATGTCCCAGCCATGATTTGGGATATAGGGCTGTGCAAACCCAATCCCTTGGGGTTCTCTGGCTAAGGTAACCTGGATTGCAGAGCTATCTTGTCCGAGGCCCCGGTGGGAGCATCTGCCAGGGTGGAGCAGGTGTTGAAGCGGGAAGTCTTGCAGGACATGGTCCTGGAGCTCTGCTTCTTACGGTAGAAGTAGCTGCTGAGGTGGAACCAGAACTTGTCGTGGAGGGAGGCGTAGATGAAGGGGTTGTAGCAGGCAGAGCTCATGGCGATCAGGTGGCACGAGACCTGGATGACATTGACGTACCTCTTGTCCAGGATGGTGAACTCCTCGTCGATGTCCCGGATGAAGTTGACCACCTGCAGAGGCAGCCAGCAGACCACGGAGATGGTGAGCACCCGGAAAGTCTTGTGCTTGGTCCTGGTCCACTTGTCGTGGCAGTGGTGGGCAGCGCCCGGCACGTTCCTCCTGCGCAGGTGGTAGGTGATGGCGCAGAAGGAGACGGACACGGCCAGCAGCGGGAGCATGTAGGAGAGCAGCAGCATCAGGCACGAGTACAGCAGCCGCTCCCTCTCCTCGTGCTTCCAGAACTCCTCGCAGATGATCATGTCGTGGCCGATGGCGTTGAGGTCCAGGTAGTGGGTGTGCAGCGAGGTGGGCACCGAGGCCACGATGGACAGCAGCCAAATGCAAGCCACGAGGCCGAGGCAGGCCCTGCGGCTGATCCGCCGGCGGATCGGGTACGCCACCACCACGTAGCGGTCGATGGCGATGGCCGTGAGGGACAGCACCGACACGAAGACGGTGGCAGCCTGCAGCAGGGTGACAAAGTGGCACATGAACATGCCGAAGAGCCAGCCCCGCTCCTCGAAGGCGTAGGAGGCGGTCAGGGGGACACAGGCCAGGCACATGACGAAGTCGGCCACCGCCAGGTTCCCGATCAGGAAGTTGGTGGTGCAGTGCAGCTTCTTGGTGAGGGCGATGAGGAGGATGAGGAAGAGGTTCCCGATGCACGCCACCGTCACCAGCGTGGCGTAGAGCGGGATGAAGAGCGGCTTCAGCTCCAGGAGCAGGTCCAGGCCGGTGAAGATCAGGGAGGAGTCATTGTGCCAGGAATCATTGGGCAGCTGAGCCATGGGAGCCCCTGTGGCTGATGCAGCCGAGCACAGATGAGCCTGTGAGCTCTGTAGGGGACATAAATACATTTTGGTTGAACTTCTAGGCAGAAGGACATGTCTCCAGAGTCTGGGCCTTTTGCACAGCTGGTTTAAATGGCTTGCTTAAGAGTGAAGATGCCCACGGGAGAGCTCTGGTATGGAGGAAAGTTGGGAAGCTGGCTGTGAAATTAAGTTAAGCAGCCAGCACAAATCTGTGGGGAGCTGCCAGCTTGGGGCAGCAGGACCCAGACATCAGCTCGAGAAACCTCATGGAGAAACCTGGGAGCTGCACTGATGTAAGGCAAAAAAAAAAAGACACCTGCATTTCTTGCTTTTATTTTCCCAGTTAATTCCACCCTGACCCAGCAGCCCCATGCCACCTGGCTGGGCAGGAGCATCCTTTCCATCCCCTGCACTGCTGTGTCTCCCCCAGCCACCCCACCCCATTCCACTGGGCTCTTTTATCCCCTTGGTTATATCTTCACTACCCATGGAGCTTCAGCTTCTCCTGTCTTTCCCTGTGGCAGCTGTGATGGGAGGGAGGGAGGGAAGGAAGGAGTGAGTGCCTGGCTCCCTGGGCACCTCCACAAACCCACTCAGAGTAGCTATGGGGAATGAGGTAAAATATATTCCAGCAGAAAGTGTATGAAAATTAAGAGTTCCCCTCCAGGACCCTCCTTTCAAGCGTCACACTCTCAAAATTATTGTTTGATTCCCCCTTACCAGGATCTGGACAGTCATTTTCCCCCAGTGGAGAGTCGAATCAGCATTAATTAAGAAACCCTTGTAATTAACCGAGGGATATTGTGGTTTTCTACATCCCAGCTGCACTCACAGGGTGCACTCTGAGATACCACAGCTCCAGGTCCCCGTGCCCTGCCTCGGGCAGGAACACAAAATCCATCAGGAAACTTGCAGCTGAGGAGCTAAAATGCTCATTAACTTAGAGAATGAAAATTCTGAAGCTCAATTAAATTCTTTAATTCTGCTTCGTGGACCCACGAGAGTCTAACCAGCCCTTCTGTGCATCGCCTGGGTCGTGCTCCCTCTCCGATAAACGCTGAACCCCGCGGCTCTGGCTGGGGTTTGGGGGGTCCGGGGTGTGGCTGCGGGACCCCCTGTCCCGGTCCGGAGTGCTCTTACCTGCCGAGGGGTCCGGGGTGCTCAGGGCTGGGAGCCGCCCGCTGCCCGCCGATGCTCCCGTGAGGATGAGGAGGAGCGTTCCCTTCGCAGGGTGTTCACCGGGAAGCACAGCCGTTCTCAGCCGGGTTTTTATGGTGTGAGGGGTTTTTTTTGTCTTGCTTTGTCTTTCTTTCTTTCTTTTTTTTTTTTTTTCCCGCTGCCTGAGCCTTTCAGTCCCGGAGGAACAGAACGTTCCCACCCCCGGCGCTCGATGTTCCAGGTACCCGGGGGGACGCGCACATCCCACCGCCCCGCACCGCAGGTGGAGCCGCATCCCGCCCCCCGGCCCGGCGGGGAGCACCGGGGGGCTGCGGAGAGCCCCTCCCTCGCCCTCGGGGCCGGATCCAGGGACATTCTCCCGGCAGGGATGGGGGGGAAGGCGCGGAGAGGACGGGGCGGGCGGGCGCAGGGACCGTGCGGAGCTCCCGGAGCCGGAGGCGCCCGCCCCGTCGGGGGTCCCGGCCCGGGGGGCGAGGGAAGAGGGGAGGAAAATGGGGTGAGGGCAGAGTGGGGTGAGAGTGGCCCAGCCGTAGGGTGATGGGCACCCAGCCCCGGGGTGCCGGTGGCCCAGCTGGAGGGGTAAGTGTAGGATGGGGTGAGAATGCTGCAGCCATTGAGAATTTCCCCAAATGAGAAAGGGTGCCAGGGTCAGCCTTACTTAAATAAGGGAAAATTATAAATAATGATCATCCACTGGAATTTTGGGAGGATAACAGGAATGAGAATTGTCAGAACAGTCACAGAAGTTCTGCAAAATGGAGAGTTTTGGTGCAAGATGGTGATTAATTCATCCCAATCTGATGGAGCTGGGCTGTTTATTAAAGCTGGCTGAGCTGATCCAGGGGAGAGTGCTCACCCTGCCGAATAATCAACAGGAAGAAAATCATCTTTATCTCTGTATCAGCGCCTGACGAGAGCTGCTGTTAATTTTAAAGAGCAGAACAATCAGATAAGGAGAGCCAGAGGCGGGTTTGAGAGGAGAGCTGGGCTTTGGAGCCGACAGCGGGATGATGACTCCACCCCAAGGCGGTCACAGGCTCCATCCCGGCCCGGATGCGCCATGGCCTGGGTGACCCGGCTGCAGCGCTGGGAGCTCTTCCCTATGCACAGGCTCATCCTGGAAAAACCTTGACATCACCTTTGCTGCTTCCAGAGCCTGCAGAATAAATCACTGTTATTTCCAGAGCTTGTATTGTCCCGCCCCATCTTGGAATGGTTATTATTTTTACAAGTGAAATGGTAAGAGCTGTTCCCTCAGGTCCCTTCTCCAAAGGAAATGCTTGGTGATGTGGATGTGGAATTGTTTCAGCAGTTCTTTTGGGTACATTTCTTCCTCAAATATATTTAAGAAAAGATAGGATAATATAAAGCATCCTCACAGTGCTTGCTACTCATAAGAAGAATTTTATTGACTGAGAAATAGGCTAGGGACAGAGAAATTGATGCTTTCTCTCTCTGCACAAACCATTTCTGGGAACAGCTCAGAGTTCTGCACATTTGTCACAGCTTTGTTACATCAGGTGAGAGAGAGCTGCACAAGGACACAGACATAATATAATAAAGGACAGTTAAAGGATAAATTAAAAGGGACATTTAATGACCAAAGCAGCCAGACACGAGGCTTGTGTATCACTGGCACTCAGGTGATTCACACCATTTCTCAAGGTTTGAAAAACAAGGATTGTTTTAATGGAGAATTCTGAGTGTGACTTTTTTGGGAGGTGAGCCTGGAGTGGGAATTACACTAGGAAAGCTGACACTGGTGCCTCTATTTGGGTACAGAGACAGGAAACTGGGAGGCTCCAGCAAGAATTTACTCCTACAAAAGTATTTTCAAACAGATGCATAAATGAACACGGTATGAATCTGGTGTGGATTAACTCCTAGAACCACAATTTCCCCTAAGGAGCTCTGACAGACTCTGCTGCTTCCCTCTACCGACCTCCAGTGTTGGTGCCAAGGCAGAACACACAGATCAGCGAAAAATCAGCACAAAATCAGATTCTTATATTACTAAAAGGAAATAACCCTTTGAAGAGTTAAGAGGGGTGAAAAAAACCAATTAAATGCTAAATATATTTCAAGTCAGAGAATTCTATGCAATTCTGTGATGAAAACAAGTTGTTTGTAGCCTCCCTGGCTAAGCCTCTTGGTTTCCCAATACAAAATCTCATCTGATCATTTTCTGGAGAGGCTGAAGGAATAAAGAACAGATACAAAATGACCAACAAGAGGAAAAATACTCCCCCTACAATCTATAATAGAGAGTTTGGGCAATAAAGTGAGATATTAGGGGGTACATTGCAGAGAGGGATGTGAAATAGCTACAACGTCAATAACACCATCAATTTATTGACTGCAGTGAGAGCTTCCTTCAAGGTCCCAAATTCACAGAAGTGAGAAATATCTGTCTTTTTCCTGGCACAGCTTGGGGCCGAATCAGACTGAAACAGCAAAGATCTGGAGAAAACACCAAAGTGGATTTGGCAGGAGGGGAAAAAAATGCCCAGCTGAGTAATGAAAGGTGAAAGACAGGAAGAAAGTGATTCAGTGGTTTCTCTGCTCTGTTCTAGACCATGATGTTTTCTGGTGCTTCTCAACAACTGCTTTTGTTATTGTTGTTGTTGTTTAATGTGTCTCCTGATGGATTCTAAACAATCCATATCCAGGCTGGAATGATGATGTGGCTGCAGGCTGGAGATGACCAACGTGAGTTTTTGATTCAGCTGTTCCCTCTCGTCCCAACCAGTGCCAGTCACTGTCTGCCGAGCTCCAGAGCTGGAATTTGGTGTGTTGGGAGTTCTTCCTTATAAAAGTTACTTTTTCAATCACTGATAATTTGCTCTGTGCCCTCCTTCCTGCTATTCCTACACATCTTCCTGGGGGCTGGGACAAGAAGCAGCCCCGGGCACGGCTGGGGGCTCTCACTGCTCCGCAGTTGGTGGCTCCTCCTCCGCCTCCGGCTTCTCCGGCTGCGATTCCGGCGGGATGAGGCACTGCACCTCCTCGGAGCTGATGGCCACCTTGTCAGGCTGCAGCCAGCGCTTCAGGTGCTCCAGCGTGCTGGGGACAGCAAAGGGACACCTTCGTGAGACCAGGGAGTGACAGAGCCGCACAGGAACACACAAGAGAAGCGACAGGAAAAGCCGCCATAGACATTTCCTGCCTCTCTGCAGGTATTCCTGTTCCCACAGGTGAGGTCTGGATCCTTGTGCCAGAGGGACAAGCAGAATCTGACATTCTACAAAGCCATTCCCTGCAAATGGGCCTTTTAAACTGTGGTTAGAACATGTTTTATGCTCTGATTTCTCTCAGTGTAAAGGACCTGCACAGGATTCCTTTCAGCCTTTACACACCTGAAGTTCTTCTCTGTCTCTGTAGCCAAAGACTTCAACTCAATCAGACAGAGGACAGGGTTAGATGGGATTTTGGGAAGAATTTCTTCCCTGTGAGGGTGCTGAGGGCCTGGCACAGCTTGCCCAGAGAAGCTGTGGCTGCCCCATCCCTGGAAATGTTCAAAGCCAGGCTGGGGTTTGGAGCAACCTGGGATAGTGGAGGTGTCCCTGCCCAGGGCAGGTGGGTGGAACTGAATGGGGCTAAAGGTCCCTTCCAACTCAAACCAATCTATGATTCCAGCAGCTTCCAGCTTTTTGGGCTGGAAGTAAAAAACCTCTTGTTCAAACAAACCAAACCACCAACTGCCTCTTTGTGATGAAGATCAGGAAATATGGGGGGAAAGGGAAGGGAACAAAACCAAAGCAGGAAGAATATCTTGAGATGTTTTGAAATGTGTGAGCATTAATAACTCTGAAAGGTTAAAAAACCTATATAACCACAATAGTCTAACATCATAATTCAATGCACTTAAAAATTAAGGCTTGTTTAATTACATCAGTGGATGAGACTCAAAACTTCAGCACCATTCAGGAGTGACCTCTAACTTCATAGTCAGGTTCTAGGGACTGAAATTCTTTCATGGATAACATCCTCACCCTTTAAAAACAGTAGAAAGAGCACATAAAAGCTTGGTTTTAAATATAAATCGCATTGAAGTTAACTGGGGACCAAAGAAACCATCTGAAACCTCCTTATAAACAGGGATTACTTTTCATAGTTCTGGCTTAAGTAGATTTTCTTCAAGGGAGAGAAATAATCTTCTTGTCATGCAGAAGCAATCATGGAAAATGTCAGCTGAGAAATGAGGAGTTTGGAGAGCATTCCATGTGATTGGGAATGGGAGACTGCTTAGGAAATGAGCTCCCACCTTACTTCTGCCATCATCTGTGAGAGGGCAATAGGGGAGAGAGTAGAAGCACTGTAAGAGAGGCAGGGAAGGGAAATCTCATCCCAGGACTGACACCAATCCCAAATGCCCATCTGAGACCCACTGGACATTCCCTCCTCTGCTCCATTCCTTCCCTACCCTACGTGTGAGGAGGGAAATCACTGAGTAGGTCCCAGCTGCTTCCAGGCAGTCTGAGAGGTGCAAAGATCAGAAAGCAGCACTGGAAGCTCAAACTCTTACATGCTCTGTGTTCTCTCTAGCTCAACCCCAATGGGCATTCCCAAAATGCTGCAGGAATCCCATGGCAGCCTCTCCGAGCTGCAGGGAGACGGAATTCCTGTGTCATGTCCTGACAAAACCTTCTTCTAGTTTTTAAGGGATAAATGGTGACCCCTTCCCACTGACTGGCTCGTTACCTCTCGTCAGCATCGTGGCCCTCCACGAAACATTCTGCCTCAAACTTCTCCTGCAGGAACCTGTCCCAGCATTCCTTCTTGGCCTGGGACAGCGTGCGCAGCATGTCCTTGGAGGTCACCTCCTGGGACAGGCCCTTGATCCTCATCAGTCTTCTCTCTGGGAGGAGAACAGGGGATATTGTTATCTTGGTTATGGTTTGTTTTTTGTTTTTTTTTTTTCTGGAAGGAGAGAAGGATCTGGATTTCTATATCCAAAAGTAAGCTAAATTAACTTTTCAAGACTAATTTCTGTTTTAAAAGTAATTCTCCCCCCCGTCCCGTATGTCAAGTTACACAGCTCTCTTTCTGATATATACACAAGATTATGTTTTTCAGGTGATGCTTCTGAAGGAAATAAGTTTTGTGCAATTAGTCAACTGAACCCATTTGGGGTTTTAATAACTTTCACACTTACTGCTCAGTTTCCATGAAATCACACAGGAGGGCACAGATCTTGCAGGAACCAAGTTCCCACAATTTCCATGCAAATTGGAATATAAATCACTCTCATTGCTCTACTTGGCGCACTGTGAAACAGCAATGAAGGCACGATGAAAGTTCTGGCAGAAATAAAAGCTTAAAAAGCCACTTCTGCCACCTGTTCTGTTGCTGTGTGCAGCCTCCTAGTTACTGTGGAGGGTAAGAACCAATTTTTTCAGCTTTTGCTTTATAAAAAGTTCCTTTCTGTGGCAGAGATGAAGAAGCTCTGACTGAGCTTCACCTTTCCACTGCTGCACTTGAAGAAAACGAGTCAGATTCTGTGTTAAACAGCTGGGAGACTTTTTGACCACACAAACAGAGCTGTCACCAGGCACCTCAGCAGCAGGAGACACTCACCCAGGGATGCTAAATACACCTCTGAGTCGTTCAGGGGTGCCCAGGGCTTGAGGGCGGGTTGGGAAGAGCCACTCGATCCGCTGTCCTGGGCGTAGGAATCCATGAAGGAGTCTGTGAAAGCATCGCCGGCGTCCTTGTGCTCGGGATGTGGCAGACAGGAGCAGATCTCAGCCCAGAGGTCCTCGCTGGACCTGGTCACCACGGAGTCCACGCTCTCGATCATCCTCATCGTGGGATCCTGGCATGGGGGGAATAAGCGGTGAACACCGAGCTGATCCGCCCGCCCAGGCCTCCGCCACCTCCCTCCCTTCTGCCCAAGCCACCCCAGCGGATATCCCAGGGAATTCTCATCCCACCAGAATGCCCGGCCGCCCCGAAAGGAGCGATGTCCCCGCGGCTGCCCGTGAGGCGGAGGGGCCGCCCCGGTCCCGCACCCACCGCCCCGCGCTCCGGGCACCGCGGCAGCTCCGCCCGCGCCTCTCCGGCCCCGGGCCCGACCAATCATCGCCTCCACCGGCCCCGCATCCGACCAATCACCGCGCGCCGCCGGCGAAGAGAGAGCGCCCATTGGTCCGCGGGGAAGGGGACGCTGACGCCACCGTGCCACCATGTTGGCAGAGGGCGGAAGTTGTCTCGGGCGGCGCAGGCGAGTGCGGTGTGACATCCTTGAGCCTCTGTCACACTTGTCGTGGTTTAGTGAGGACGGGATGTGTTTCAGCGGGACACGGGGAGCTCTGGCGTGGCTCTGAAACCCCTCTCTCCTTAGGCCGCTGCCGTGTCCGTGGGATGAGCCAGCTGCCGTCCGGCGCCGTGCTGGCACTCATGGGGCTGCTCTTCGCCAGGACCATGGCCTGGACATCCAGCGGGAAAACGCACGCGGAGCTGGTCAACAACCTCTACAGTGAGTCCCAGGAGCATCCACTAGAATGGCAGTGTACGGATATTTAATGTCTGTGTATGGAAATTTAGTGTCACAGCGTGTGACGCTGCTCACTCAGAAGGGTTTGGGTTAATGTTTCTGAATTTCGACATTTGCCCCAGCCTGAACTCGTGCTATTTATAGCTGGAAACAAAGTGTTGTGCCGGAAGGGGCAGGAAAGCCTCTCCACACCTTCTTTCCCTGCCTCTGGAAGTGTGTGACGCCCTTTAAAGTGCTGCAGCTCGGTGTTCCGAGCCCTGGGGTGCAGCCGAATGTCCCTGATATCCATACGGTGCCTCCAACTCTGCCCGGGGGCTGGAATGGTGCCCGGTGCTCCTGCTCCGCTCAGGAACACACATAAAAGTAGCTGTAAACTTCCCCAGAATTCCCACAGAAAGGTGTGAAGGAATGTTGGATGTCTCTGCAGTCGTGGCCCTTGAGTTCACTGCTGAAACCTGAACCGGGACTCCGTTTCTCACCGTGAAACGTGACTCCTTTCACTCCCGTTACACTTGGCAGTGCCAGAGGTGTTGTGGATGTGGGTGGCCACACTCCGGAGATGGGCTGGTGGCTGGGCCCCTAGCAGGAATAGAAAAGGATGTCCTTCCATCAGTACTTGGTTTGCTGTCTCTCTCAGATCCCTCATTAATTCCCCCAGATCCACGAACTCCCTGAAGTGTGCTTCCCCTTTCTAATCTCTTCTTGCTGGAATGCCAAGGATTTCAGTCCTGCCTGTCTCTCTTTTCCTTCTTTCCCAGAAAAAGGGATCATTAAGTCTCAGCGAGTCTTCGATGTGCTGCTGGCTACGGACAGAGGTCACTACATCAAGTATTTCCCATACATGGATTCTCCTCAATCCATTGGTGAGTCACCTCTGTCACAACATCTGCTGTCAGCAGGATACAGGATGCCTTGGCAGGTGCTCCATGGTGTTGCTGTGGAATCTCTATCCCTAGAACAGTCCAAGCCCAGGCTGGATGGGCCTTGGAGCAACCTGGTCTAAGAGAAGGTGTCCCCACAGGGACTGGGAATGGATGAGCTTTAAAGTCCCTTCCAACCCAAACCATCCTGTGATTCTGTGAAAGGAGACAAGTGTTTTCCTGTTTTTAGGGGAAGGTGGGGGAGAATTAAGGACTGTTCCTATTGGGAATTTTATTCCTTATCAAATAACTTGTGTCACCCTTTCCTTTTAGGCTACAAGGCTACGATCAGCGCCCCTCACATGGTAAGGTGAAAACGCCTCACTTTCAACAGAAATGGAGGGAATTGTTTATTTCTCCTTTTATATTTAATTTCTTCAAGTAGAAAACAGAAACATCCCATGGACATGATTATCCTGCTTACTTCTTTAGAGATTTTCCTTTTTAAGAGGAGTTTCCCCTATACTCTTTGAGTTGCTTTAAAAGTGTGCTTCAATGGGAATTCCAGGTTGACTCTTTTCTTTTGCATGAGACCTTTTTTCCTGCTGTTTCACATCTCATTCCTGAGCCTCTGCCTAAATGATGTCCTGCAAAAGATCTTCCAGGTCTGACATTTGAGTTTTGTTCTGGAAGTGTCAGGCACGAGGCTAGGTGTGCTGTGATTAAATCAGAAAACAAGGAAAAGTGTTGAAAGAGGAGACTAACCCTGGGGTGTTTCCCATTTCCTTTGTCCTGGTTGTCCCTGCAGCATGCCCACGCATTGGAGCTGCTCAAGGATCAGCTGGTGGAAGGTGCCAAGGCGCTGGATGTGGGATCTGGGAGTGGATACCTCACTGCATGCTTTGCCAGGATGGTGAGCTCATGGCACTCTATTCCCAGCCTGCAAAGCACATCCCTTAATTAGCTGATATAACTAGGACTGCTCAGCCTTAAAACCAAGGAAGGGGCACCTCCTCTTCAGAACCTCTGCTCTACAGTTTCTTCCTGGAAATTCCCCAGTTCCCACTGAAACCTGCCCTGTCTCTTCCATATGCGAGGCATCAGGTGTCAGGCTGATGTTCTTTCCAGATTGGCCCGACGGGAAAAGCTGTGGGTGTGGAGCACATCAAGGAGCTGGTGCACGAATCCATCCGGAACGTCCAAGAGGATGATCCCACGCTGCTCAGCTCTGGCCGTGTGAAGCTTGTGGGTGAGCTCCCTGCAATCCCGGGGTCTTTCTCTTGGCTCTGCTCTTTGAAGTCCTTCCAGTCTGTTGATACTTTGAGTTGTTATGACGACCAAAGTCTTACCTGTGTGCTTTCCCTCTGTAGTTGGAGATGGCAGGCAGGGATATCCCGAGGAGGCTCCTTACGATGCCATCCATGTGGGAGCAGCTGCAGCCACCGTCCCCAAGGAGGTGAGTGGCCGTGCTGGAGAAAATGAGGGAACTGCTGGAAGCTTATTTTCTGTCGTGGCCTTCACAGTGGTGCTTATTCCCGTTGTCTGTGGGGTTGTTTTTGCCTCTGGTGACCGGGATTTCTCCGTGCTGCAGCTGCTGAAGGAGCTGAAGCCGGGCGGGCGGCTGATCGTGCCCGTGGGGCCCGAGGGAGCGAACCAGGTGCTGATGCAGTACGACAAGACCAGCGAGGGGAACATCGTGGAGACCCAGCTCATGGGCGTCATCTACGTCCCTCTCACAGACAAGGAGAAGCAGTGGCCTCGGTAAAATCTGCTCTTCCCTGAGGAACACTCCTTCCTCTCCCTCTGAGCTTGCTCTCCTTGGCTTTGCTGATCGAGTCCTGGATCCTTGACAGATGCTGTTTGTGGAAAAAAAAAAAAAAAGGAGCGAACAGCTTGGCAAAGCAAGGGGGTATTTTCTGTTCGATAGAGCTTGCTGAGTTTTATTTCTTCTTTCTCTGGAGCCTGTGTGTGTTTCTAAATTCCACGTGATGCCGGCACAGAGCTGAGGGAGTAGTAACTGCTGGTTTTCCTTTGCCTCAGGGATGACCTCTGACACACGGATGGATATCTCTAAAGGCACCTCAGAAAGCTCATGAGAGGGACTTAGGCCTGTAGATGGTCGGTATGGTTTTGCTTTTTAATGGAAATTTCATCAATGGATAAAGGGAAGTTCTGCTTCAGAGGAGCTCGTTCTGGAGGGATGGAGAAACAGGGACAGGACATGGGGAGGCTCTTGGAGGCTGTGGCAGCTTCCAGGGAGCAGATCCAGACAACTGCAGCAGACAGGAATACCTAAAGCTTCACTAAAACCACTTTAACATCGACTACTCTGCCTAATGCTTGGCGAAAATAAGTCGCAATTAGTGTCTCGGAGCAGCAATGTACCCTGATTTGTCAACGTTTTAAATACGGGAGCGTGTTCTTTTCCTGCCTGCACCAACTAATTCAATGATGGGCATCAACACTGGATTTTGAGGTTATGAAAAATGCTCGTTTCTTGGGAGTTTTTTTTTTTTTCTGTTTGGGATTTTGAAAAATGCTCGTTTCTGGACTTATCCCTCTTTGGGGTTATGAAAAATGCGCATTTCTTGGCTTTTCTGACTGGGGTTATAAAAAAATGCTCATGTTTCGGCTTTTCCCTGACGTGTCGCTTCGGCAAGGAGGCTCACGAGGGGCAGGCGGGCTGCGGTGAGACTCGAGGGTCATTTGTAGAGCAGTTCTGAGAGGAGAAACTGCTCGGAGGTAAATAAATAAAGTCGCTCTCACTCCTCCACCGCCTCCTTCTCCCGCGCCCTCACGACGCGGAGTGGGGGGGGGAACGGACGGTGCGCCGGGGGCGTGGCCTGGCGGTGCCGGCCCGCGCTGATTGGCTGCGCCGCCCGGCACAGCGCGATGCGTCACGGCGTGCGGCGCGCGGTGTGGCAGTCGTGGGTGCGCGCGGCGGGCAGTGGGGTTCGGCCGCCGCCGCCGCCGCCCCGCGGGGACATGGCCGAGCCGGGACCCGGCCCCAGCCGAGCCCGGGAAGAGGAGCCGAGCCCCGCCGGCAAGGAGGAGGCCGCGCCGGCCCCCAAGAAGCGGCGGCTGGCGAAAGGCGAGCGGTACGTGCCGCCACCGCGGAAGCTGAACACCGGCGTGAGCTTCAGCGCCGAGCACTTCGCCGAGACCTCGTACTACTTCGAGGGCGGCCTGCGCAAGGTGCGCCCCTACTACTTCGATTTCCGCACGTACTGCAAGGGGCGCTGGGTGGGCCGCAGCCTACTGCACGTCTTCGGCACCGAGTTCCGAGCGCAGCCCCTCTCCTATTACCGCGCCGCCGCCCGCGCCGGCCGCCTGCGCCTCAACGAGGAGCCCGTGCGCGACCTGGACATCGTGCTCAAGGTGGGCGCTCCCGTGGGCATCCTGGGCTGGTGGCAGAACCCGGCCTGCCCCGAGCCGTGAGCATCACCCCGTGGTCACATAGCACAGGGCCAGGAGTTGGACTCGATACTCCTCATGGGTTCCTTTCAATTTGGCAGATTCTACGGTTCTGTGAATATTGCGGAGGGGTTGAAGGGGAAATCGGAGGTCCTGGGAAATTCCTGTCCCACTGGATTCGGGAATGTGTGGATCCTACAGCCCCGCACGTGTCCCACAGCTTCCTTGGCCCTTGGGAGCGGGAATGGGCAGGTTATTGGATTTGCATGATGACACACTTACTATCTTAAATCCGGGGTGCCAGGAGAAAGGGGCTTTAATTCTTATCCCACAATGTCAAGTCCCTGTTGTTTGTGGGTGGTTGCCCGAGCTGGATTCAGGCTAATTGTCCATATCCCTTCCAGAACAACGACTTTCTCAGGAACACGGTGCATCGGCACGAGCCGCCGGTCACCGCGCAGCCCATCCGCATCCTGGCCGAGGATGAGGAGGTGGTGGTGGTGGACAAGCCCTCGTCCCTGCCCGTCCACCCGTGCGGCAGGTTCCGCCACAACACGGTCATCTTCATCCTGGGCAAGGAGCACGGCCTGCGGGAGCTGCACACGCTGCACCGCCTGGACCGCATGACCTCGGGCGTGCTCATGTTCGCCAAAACCGCGGCCGTGTCCAAGCGCATCGACGAGCAGGTCCGGCAGAGGCAGGTGAGGGCTTGGAGCTGCTGCTCTGCTCTCCTGGAGCAGCCGGATTTGGGCTCTAGATGAGCTCAAGTTCCCCAGACAATTCATGGTTGTGTTGTTACCTGTTGGTGCTTCTCGTCCTTAATAGGCTAGAAGTAGAGTAAAAGTTGAGTTTGGTAATACTGGATTGGAAGGGAGCTCCTAAAAATTTTAATTGGTAATATTACATTGAAAACCCTAAAAATCTATCTGCGTTTGCTGATATCGGATTGGAAGTGATCTAAAAATTTAGTTCGATGTGGTAATTTAATTGAATTTTGTAATATTGGACTAAAAGGGGTCTCCTACAAATTTAATTTATTTTGGTAATGTTAAACTGAAAAAGGTCTCCTAAAACTTTCACTGATTTTGGTCATTTTAGGTTGAAAGTGACCTCCTAAAAATTTAAATTATTTTGGTAATAATGGGTTGGAGGGGATCTTCCCTGCTAAGGGATTGTCCCATGGGTCTGTCCAAACTTACTGAGATCATGCAAACCAGTTAGAGATGAGACTTATTTCTGAGTGGACATATGTCAACTGTCCACTACTTTAGTAATTTTAAAATTACCATTTTTCCAGAATCTCTTGATCCAAACAGAAGTTTTTCCAGGATTGGCTTCAGGGCTGTAAAGGCTGTGGAGAAATGGCTCCTGAATTTAGTACAAGGCAAATAGGCCAGGCCTTTCTGTTCTCAATTTCCCAACTAGCTGGGGAAAATGCAAGGGGAAATTTGGCCTTAAGTGGCTGCTTTAATTTTTTCCCTTTTCCTGTTGTAATAAATGGTGTTTTATTGAGGGGAGAGGGAGGAGGAGCAAGGCTGGAGCTTGGCTGTGTTTTCCACTGTGTTTCCTGAGCCTTCCTCTCGTGTCTCCTGGCAGCTGGAGAAGGAATACATCTGCCGGGTGGTGGGGGAGTTCCCGGAGCACGAGGTGGTCTGTGAAGAGCCCATCCTGGTGGTTTCCTACAAGGTGGGCGTGTGCCGCGTGGATCCCAAGGGGAAGCCCTGCCAAACCCTCTTCCAGAGGCTCAGCTACAACGGCAGCAGCAGCGTGGTGAGGTGCCTGCCCCGCACGGGCCGCACGCACCAGATCCGCGTCCACCTCCAGTTCCTGGGACACCCCATCGTCAACGATCCCATCTACAACATGGAGGCGTGGGGCCCCGACAGGGGCAAGGGCGGCAAGATCGGGAAAACGGATGAGGAACTCCTGAAGGCCTTGGTGGAGGAGCATCGTTCCAAACAGAGCCTGGAGGTTTTGGGTATTGGGGAGGAGGACTTGAACTGCAGCGGTGAAAGTAAAGACTCTGGGAATTCGGGTGACTGCACAAAGTCTGCAGAGGCTGATCCTGTAAATGGGAATTCCTGCCCTGCTGAGGACAAGAAGGATCCGGAGAGGGACGACGTAGCAGCTTGTCCACTGAACTCTGATATCAACCTGGAAACGCTTGATAAGGACAAAGAGCTCAGTCTGTGTGAGAATCAGGATGGGCAAACGGGGGAGAAGGGTTGGGAAGAGAAGGACCCTTTGTGTGTGGAGTGCAGGACGAGCAGGCGGGACCCGTCTCCCAAGGAGCTGGTGATGTTCCTGCACGCCCTGCGCTACAAGGGCACGGACTTTGAGTACTGCTCCAGCATGCCTGAGTGGGCCATGGAGGACTGGGAGGAATGACCAGGACACCCAGCACGTGTGGGCACTGCTGGCCAGGACAGCGGCGTGCCAAGACCAAAGATTGACTTTTCCTTGGGATGGGGTGAATAAAGTGTGCCTTGAGCTGGGGTGGGAGGGATCAGTGGGGCTGGAGAACTATCCTGCTTCCCACAGGTGCTGGGAAAAATGGAAACGAGGCTAAAACAGCTTTGCCTTCACCTCAATGGATTCTGGATCAGTTGTCCAGATGGATGATTAAGTGCATGCACTAAAAGTTGAAAACTGATTTTTCTTCCAGCTTGCTGTGTCTTACAGTAAGAGCTGCTGGATGTCATGTCATAAAAAAACCCTGGTTTTACTGTATTTTATTGTCAGATTGATTTCAAAATTACAAGATTACTCCTGAGAACACTATGAGGTAAAACCAGAACACTGTGATCCGTTTTGTGCCTGCTGTTTGTCAGCGAGACCCACTTGCCTTTGAAATTACCAATATTCATTCAAATAATTACTTAATTAGGTAGTTCTGGGTACAGGTATTGGGCCTGGTTTTGGAGGTACTGTTCCCCAGATTTTGTCTTGAAGAGATCTTTTAATATCACTTCAGTATGACAACCAGCTTTCAAGAAAAACAAAAGCAGTTTTATGAAGCAGAAGACTTTTTAAAAAATAATTTTATGTGAATGATAAATATCACCGTAGTTCTTATTTTCATCACTGCTTACACAGTTGATTCTTAGCTTCTGGGAGAGTTTTTATATTAATTTTGGAGATCTCAGGTTGGCCAGCCCACAGGAATTAGTACCTTCCTCTTAAAAATCACTTGATGATGTCACCAGGGTCAGGATGTGGCTACCAAATCACAATAAACCATTGCTTGCTTCCAGTAGCCCAAAAGAGCCAAGTGATGTCTTCCTCTGCTGGATAATCCAGGTAATGTTGAATATTTCCATAAAAATTAACTCAGGTTTGAGCTTTACTCTTCCACATGCTGTCAATGGTTTCGTGCTTCTAATTTAATTCCAGACATTTAAAGAGATGATGCTAAAAATCAGCGTTATCCAAATTTTCGGTACATTGGAATACACCTTTTGTAAAAATAAATGGAACTTGGCCGCCTTCAGTGTATTGAAAAGAGTGGCTGGAACTGTTACTGGACTTGAGTGCAGGGGAAAGGGGGTGGGTTTAGGGATGACAGTTAAATTAGACTTTGATCTGTCCCAAGTTGCACTGGGAGGTTTTTTGGTAAGAAATTTCTGCTACAAAAAAAAAAAAAAAAGCTCTGTCAGGGATTTTTCTCACTGAGCTTGGTGCCAGAGGGCCTGATGAGGAACTGGAGCTCAGCACTGCTTTTTCCCCTTTTCCTGGAATAATGGCTGCAGTTGGCAACTTTTAATTTCCTGGTCAATAAACCCATGGGCTTCTGTTTCCAAGATTCTTTGAACAATGAAAATTTAGGATTTATTGCACAAGGATCCTACCTCTAATTGCATTTTATTTTATTTTATTTTATTTTATTTTATTTTATTTTATTTTATTTTATTTTATTTTAAGTCAAAATAGTGTTTCATGTTTTGTTAGCTGGGAAAATGTTGCTGTTGAAGATGCCCTGTGATAAATTCTCATCTGAGATTGGGTCTGAGGTAAATCCTGGGTCCTGGTTGTGGGCATAAAGTTTTCCATACAAAGTGTACGTCCTGGAAGAATTCCTTTCTTTAGCACACCTTTACTTGGACGTGCCTTGACAGTGCTGGGTTAGGTTTGGACTTGATCTTGAAGGTCTTTTCCATCCTGGACAATCTTAAAATTCTGTCTTTATCAGGAGAATGTCTGTCTCACTGTGCTAAACCACTTTTCCATACAAATAAACCCTCCTGGCAAACTTCCCTATGCTTTGGCCTCTCCCCGTGCAGAACTGACTGGAATTGTCCCCTAAACACTCACCTTCCACACAGTAACTCTTGTCCAGTTGTGTTTTAAACTTACATTGTGGTTGGGAACCTTTTGTGAGGCTACACCCTCTACTTCCAGACTTTTTTTTTTTTTTTAAAGTGAACCATGGATGGCTTAGGCAGAGAGGAAAAGTTTTTCTGTATCTTGTCAATACACCAATTTACACTTTTTAAATTGCCATGACTTGATGGAAGGCAAAGCCAAGTGCAGTAATTACTTATCTGAAGAGAACTTGATGTAATTTCCAGTGAGTGGCTGGGACTTTAAAGCCCGTCCAGTCTCACCCCCCTGCCATAGCCAGGGACACCTATTATGCCAGCTTGCCTCAGGCCCTGTCCAAGCTGGCCTTGGACAATTCCAGGGATCCAGGAGCAGCTCAGCTAATCGGGACAATTTGTGGCAGGGCCTCCTCACCCTCGCAGGGAAGGGTTTCTTCTCAATATCCCATCTAAATCTCCCCTTTTCCAGTTCAAAGCCATTCCCCTTTGTCCAAAGTCCATCTCTTGGAGCCCCTTTAGGCACTGGAAGAGGCTCTGAAGGTTCCCTGGAGCTTTCTCTTTTTCCAGGCTGAACAATCCCAGCTCTCTCAGCCTTTCCTCATCATCTTCCATCCCTCTAATTCTTACTCAAAGCTTTCACGAAGGACTCAGCCAGCCCTAATAGGACGTTTTGTTGGGATTCCAGAGAAGGCTGAGATTAAAAGGGATTTGTTCCCAGTGTCACAGCTGGAAGCTCCACAGCAGAGCTGTGTTCTAGGAAAGGAACTAAGTTAGAGAGAGACTCGTGGAGAGGCTGGATACTGTCTGAGACCCTTCAGTCCCTCGGGACATTGTCCTGTGAGCCCTAAATTCCTTGGGACGCTATCTTGGGTGACCCCTAGATCCCTCATGACACTTCCTCCTGGCTGCGACTCCTAGAAGCTTTGGGACACTCTATCCTGTCTTGTGACCCTAAACCCTTCAGGATGCTGTGTCCTGTCTCTCCCAGGCGCCATCTCCGGTTTTCCTTTTCCCCATAAAAGGATCGAAGGGAGAGGCGGGAGGGAGATGTCCCCTTGGAGGCATGGGGGAAAAAAAAATTTTGTACTAGAGAAAAATTTTGCTTCCCGACGAGGATGGGATTCGAACCCACGCGTGCAGAGCACAATGGATTAGCAGTCCATCGCCTTAACCACTCGGCCACCTCGTCACACGAACTCCGCTTTCACCGGACCTATAAGGAAGTGCACCCTCCGCCCCCCTCCTCTCCTACCTGCCGTTCCCCTGAGTGGCGGCTCCGCTTACGCGGCCCTGCACAGGCACAGCGCGGAGCGAAGCCACCGCGCCGCGACCGAGCACCCCGCAGAGCTCGTGCAGCACCGCGCCATCCCCACCACCGCGGCTGCGGGCGTGCAGGCCGCGGGGACACCGAAATGGCAGCTGCGGGCCGACGCGTGGAGGCCGCCATGTTGTACGGAGCAGGGGGCAGCCATCCTGCGCGGCGCCAATGTGTCGTCACGGGCGCGGGGCGGGCGGTTGGATTTGAACGGGGTGGCGGCGGCCGGGGAGCGGGAACCGGGACCAGAGACCCGGAAACCGGGATTCGGGAGCGGGGGGGGGCCCGAGCGGGAGGTAAGAGCGGCCGAGGGGCCCCCGCGGAGGAGCAGGCGGTGCCGAGGCAGCGCGGGAGCGGCGGCGGCCGTTGCCGGGGCCCGGGGCGGGAGCGCGGGAGAAGGCGGGGGGAGAAGGTCGGCGCTGCCCCGGGAGCGGCCTCGGGATCGGCTGGATGGAAGGAGGGCTGAGGCGGTGCCAGCTGCAGTGGGCACGGAGCGTGTGGGGAACCCCCCGGTGAGGGCGGTGCGGATCGATCCGAGGTAATTCCCGTCTGGAGAAGGCGTTAATGTGGTGTAATTAATGATAGGGGTGATTAATGCGCGATAAGTGAACGATGAGTGTTGGGGCGGTAAAGCGAGGGCGCGGGGACAAAAAGAGGCGGAAAAAAAGGGATTATGTGGGCTCATCCTGACGGGGAAAAGGCCGAGGAGGGGCGGGATGGGCGGCAGGGATGGACTGAGGTGTTCTGGAGCCATTCCCGTGTTCACAGTCAGACGGGGGGGAATAAAAACAGGAGATCTTCGTCAGCACAAGGACTCAAGGACTGTAGAGAACTTCCAAGCAGGATTAGAGGAGAACAGTTAAGGAAGGTGGTTGGGAAGTGAATTTCAGATTAATATCCCCAATAGCAGAGTTATCAGGGCTTTTATAACTCCAGGTTTATCTTCCCTGTTCCTCCGTTCTTCGTGTGCTCAGTCTGACCGAGAGTGGGTTTAGATGGAATATTGGGAAAATTAATTCATGACTCTGGAGGTTTATGTCCAAAAAGGAGACAGAGGAGTCCCATATTTATTCATGAATAAAGGGAGAGGGCATGGGGCATTTTCCATGGGGTCTCTCAAATTGCTGGGGCATGCAGCTTCCTTTTTATCCTAATTTACCTTTCCCCATTGGCTAAGGTACTTGAGAGATACAGACTTCCCGAATTGCCTAATACAGACCCTCTTCTAAATGTGCACCCGCTGTCCCTTCTTCTTCTTTGTATCTTTGCTCTTTTTCCCCAAGCCCAGGAATTTAGCAGGGCCTCGGATAAGCAATAATTTGTGTCAATATAAGTAACATTGTCCCGTTGCTTAACTCGCCCAGCAGTTTCTGGCTTAGGCAGACTCGTAGTTTGTAAAAACACGTTCCTCCTACTCATTTCAGGAGGGTTTTAAGAAAATCGAGCCATGCTCTTCTGGTTGTATCTAGAGAAGGAACAGGAAGCAACAGGCATAAGCTGAAATATCAGAAATTCAGTTTAGAGTAAGAGGGAAAATGTCTTGTATGTGTCAGAGAAAACATTGTCTTGGGTAAGGTTTGATCTCATTTATCTCCCAGCATTTACCAGAATCTTAACTTTAAATAAGAGGTCAGTTAACCAGTAATAGTTAAATTGTTAGCACAGCTGTTTTCTGATATGATATACAGAGGGAATCTATGTCTGATGTGAATGTAACAGGAGAACATTGACTTGGGAGGCTTGTTGTAGTTCAGAGCGTTTACTTGAGAAGGATGTAGAGGAAAAAACACAGCATTAAAAGCTAATAGCCAGTTGTGGATCTGTGCAGTTTTCCTACTGAGGCTTATTAATGGTTTTGAATTTTGGTGCTATATTCTATAGGAAAAGCACATCCTTCACAATGGACAAGATTTACACAGACCCTAACATGGAAAAGTGAGTTGAAACCCTCTAAGAATTTTACTGTGGTATAAATATTGCCCTTTTTAGAGACAAAACTTTTCGTAATGTATTTCAACATCCTTTAAATGAAATGTGTTATCCATGGTGAGGAAGACCAGGGAGTTTCTTTAGTGTTTGGTGAGGGGATTTCATAGTGATGGATTGTCAGGAGATGAACTGACCATGGGATTGAGGGAGGGCAATTTGCTGAGTTTTCCAAAGCTTATTCTGGGAACCAGTGCTGAAATGATCAGTCTGTTCCAAGCACATTGTTTATTTAATTTCACACTTGTAAAAATAACAGAGAAATCAATTTATTAACCTCGAAACCGTGGCAGGACCATTTAGGAATTTGGTGCAATTTTGTGCCTTCATACTGATGCTGGAAATAGAACACAAACTTTTCCAGGCTATGTAATGATAATATAAAAACAAAGCTTTACTTGGAAGCCTTCAGGTACATAATATGGTGAAAAACAGTGCCCCAAATTAGATCCTTATAATTGATAGAATTGGGCAATTAGAATATCTGGCCAATATCGTCCAATGAGAGGAGCAGTTGGTTAGGTAATCTCCCTCCCTGGCTTCTACCCTCCTCCCCTACCTTTATTATGCCAGTGATTACAAAATAAAATGTCCTTGGAGAAGTAATAGGCAAGACGAAAAAATTTTAGGAATGTGTCAATAAGTGCCTGTTCACTGAGGGAAGGAAAGGTGGGAAAATACTGGAAGTTACACTGAAGCATTTAACAGTCTACAGAACTACAAATTCTTGAAGAATACATAAAAG